TCCCACTCCCCTCCTTCTCCTGCCCCCCCCTCAACTCTTACTCCAATACTCCTTCATCTTGTCCCCCCCCAACCACTTACTCCCCTACCCTCCACTCCATAATCCCTCCTCCCTTCCTACTACAAAGTCCTTCATTCAGAGAGGAGTGTTGAGGGCTGTGTTATCAGTAAATAAAAGTGTTCACATAGGGTACGCCTCTTCGTCCTCCTCTGACCACTAGACACTCCTCTCCTCTTGAACTTTGACCTTGACCTGTGACCTCGTCTATTGATCCACATCCTCCAGAATTATGTCATATCTTGTACGGTCAGTGTTCAATGTAATGTGTAAAATTTCGTCACAACCGGTCACTCGGTTTGGGAGAAATTTTAAGTGCATGAATAGACAGACAGAAAGAAAGACAGACAGACACAGACACACAGGCAGATATAGACACACACACACACACACGGAAAGGGAGAGAGAGAGAGAGAGAGAGAGATTCCCTTATACCTTATACAGCTCATCAGTAATCACCCTTCAATCACATACAGTAGGAGAGAAATAATATATGACAATACACCTGCAACCTTAATCATGCAAGGGCTCGGTAGCATTCATTATCTCACAAGGTGTTCTAGTCTACTAAAACCTTATCTCAGAAATACATGATATATATACTATATATATATATATATATATATATATATATATACACCGAGATATGATGAATCAGTTTCCGTTGTAAAAGAAAACGACTGAACTTCTTATGTGGAAACTGTCATGCAAATTACTGATTAAAATGTTATTGTTTTATAAGTGACGATTTAGTAGATAACAGAGGTAAGAGATGACTTTAGTCTTTGTCTTACGAGATAATAAATTAGCGTTGAGGTTCTTGTTAATTAATGACGTGGCTGAATATGTCTATAGGATAATGTAGAATAATTATGCTATTTTATTGATTCTGAATATTGTTGATGTATTGTGGTTTTACTTGTACCTATACATTTACCTGTAACTGTACCTGTACTTGGACTTGTATTTACATTTGTACTTGGATTTATACTCGTACCTGTACTTGCATCTATGCCTATAGTGTTCTTTCTAACAAGTCTTCCTTTAAGTGACTATAACACCTAATAATCGAAGATCACATTAGCTTACTACAGACTTAGTGACACACACACACACACACACACACACACACACACAAGGTAATATTCTGCCGGAAATATGAAACGCCAGGTGGTGATAGTAAAGAGACGTGACATACTGAATATAAGACCGAGGTCGTACTTCCAAGTATTCGATCACTAATGTTATCCCTTAATAGGAGATAAGTGAGAACGCGTCTAATAGGCTGACCCCAACCAGAGGCAGAAGTACACCCAGTAAAATACTATCGACTATTCCAATCCAAGTCTATGTCGTTCTTCGAGACGTTCTCAGATCCCCAGTTGGAGGGAAATTTTTACTGAACGAATCTTTTTGGGAGAATCTGCGGCCGTTCACTTCTCTCGTAAAATTAGCGGGGCAGGTAATTATTCCATCTCTGGCCTCTACCGTGGGTATGGGAGAGGGGGGTAGAAGAGGGGGTGAGAAGGGAAGCGTGAGAAGGAGAAGAGAGAGGCGGGAGTAAACGTGAGAGTGATATATATATATATATATATATATATATATATATATATATATATATATATATATATATATATATATATATATATATATATATATAATGTGTGTGTGTTTTATATGTGCCAATAAAGCTGGTTATTATTTGCTGACGATTGCAAGGGGAACACATGTTAGTAGGGGAACGCCAGTGTTCTGTAGATAAAACTCTGCGGGAAGGGAGGCCACGTATAGCCCTGTTATTTCATTCTGAGTATAAAGGCCGCTGAAATAACACTTACAGACAATAAACTTGTATCCACCAGCAACTGTGAACACTCAGTAATCACGGAGTCACTGTTGGTCTTTAGAACAGAACATTTAAACGTGTTGGACAGACACTAACATCACAGAGGAACACCGACGATAAATTGTTGCGACGAAATGGAACAAATAGAATGTTTATGGTTGACAAGAATTTATTATTAGAATAACAGAAAGTCAGTCTCCCTTATCGTGTGTTGCTCACAGGTACTGAAGACAGTCGTCACTTGTCTCAAGGCTTCGCTGCCAGATGGAGGATATCCTGTACCACAAACACAAAGAATTACTGTATAATAAACTGCAGCTTTTGACTGTTGTTTTTTCCTCATCTTTCCATTCTACTAAAAAAGTGTTTGTTTAGCATTACTATGAAGTGTTAATCCCACTTCTTCAATGTATCTCGACCTGCAAATCTCATGACCTGCATGCATGTCTTACGACCTGCACGTCACTCAACCAGCACCGTCTCATGGTCTGCTTGTTTTATGTTTTATAAACCTTATGAGGTATATTCCTTACAGCCTGCACGCCCAGCAGGTCTCACTTGCCAGCACGCCTCACAACCTGCACGACCCACAACCTGCGCGACCCACAACCTGCGCGAACCACAACCTGCGCGAACACAACCTGCACGCCTCACAGCCAACAGATAATGACTCCCTAATGGGCACTAGACTCACTAATATGGTGTTGTAACGTCAGGCGGAGGAGGACCTTAGTGGCGCCTGTGTCCACCACCGCCTCCCTACAGCCTCTGGTCAACACGTGGAGGAGGACGAGATAACACGACACGCTTGACCCCAACCTCAGTATGCCAATGAGGAGACACCGACCTCTAAAACCAATTCCAGGTTCATTCCAGCTACATTCCAGGCGGTGTTACACTGGAGTCTGGATCACGGCTTTGTTGAATTACACCTGAAGATACTACATGTAGAATTCCTTTAGAGTTACTGGAGAGAGTCTGAATGTTCTGAAGATGGGAAGAAAAATACTATATTGTTTTCACTTTCTTCCCTTTTTTTTTACTGAAGATAGACAGGAAGAAAAAATACCGAGACATAAGGAGAGAGAGAGAGAGAGAGATGTAGAAAGGGACAGAAAAGGTAGATGGGTAGAGAAGGAAAGAAAGACAACCAGACAGGGAAATAGAGGGAGAGGAGATAGACAGACATAGTGGAATAAAGACAGTGACATATGACTTTCTTTCCTTCTCTACCCATCTACCTTTTCTGTCCCTTTCTACATCTCTCTCTCTCTCTCTCTCTCTCTCTCTCTCTCTCGACATCTATCTTTCCTTCTCAATCTCTTTGTCTGTGCTTTATTCTTTTGTCTTAATGTGTCAATGTATCTGAATGTCTGACTCTATGTCTGTCTATCTTTCCTTCTCAGTCTGTTACTTCATCTCAACCCAATATCTATCTGTCTCTTCCTCCCTATCTGTCTACCTACATGTCTCTCCTTCTCTGTCAATCTGTCTATCTCTCTGTATCTCCTCTGTCAATATCTCCACCCTTGAGAAATGAGGTGAGGCCAGGACGCGTGACTCGCCTTGTGCTGGGTTCGCTGACGACCTGAGGAGACCTGTCTTAATTGACTGCTACAGGTAGACCATTCACCGTTCGTCTCTTCATTTGGCGTTTCGTGATTTCGCTTCCCCTTCCCCTGTGATTACTTAAGGTAGGTGTGTGTGTGTGCGCGTGAGAGAAAATACAGGTGCACAAACTCTTACATATTAAGGATGCATACAAGAGTTTCTACGCGCACACACACACACACACACACACACACACACACACACACACACACTATATCTGTAGTATTCCTCCAGATGTATTCAATTAAATATTACCACACCATCTTACATGCATCTCGTCCTCTGTAATTTGCCAGATCATATTGCAACGTTCATTAACAAGATGCGTTATATTATGTGTTTACTGAGAATGTCGGGGGAGTGGGGGGGGGGTGGAGTTATGAGGGGGGGGGGCACAGTAGTTATCAACGTGTAAGCTGAGAAGTATGCGTGTGTTTTTGCGTGTGTGATTATGTGCGTATATGTGCATGTGTGCGTGTCCTAGTTAAAGTGGATTTGTTTATATCGCATGTACACGTATACTTTTCTTGGACAAATCTGATAACGCAGTGTGTCATTGTTTACTCTTTAATCCTACAGAGTTCTTAAACAACATTAAATATCTATCAAACTCTAATGAAAAAGCAATATACAATTATATAAAAATACACAAAGCCACAAAAAATAATTCGAAAATATCTCTCATCACTTAAAATACACTTCAAGAATTAAGTCGAGTTATCGTCCACCGCGAGAAGCCCCAGGTAAGATATATAATTAAGGCAGGTACATGAGGTGGGGGAAGAGGACAAGCTTGATCCATTAGTGTCTCGGGTCTTTCACTCTTCTCCTCCACCGCTTACATGAGTCAGTCAGTCTTCTTCCAGTGACCCAGAAGCCAGACTGTTGTAGTGTGTGTGTGATAGCCTGTACAAGGTTAGGTTAGGTTAGGTCAGGTCGGGTCAGCAGCCACCATGCCAAACCTAACGTAATTAACAGAGACGCCAAGTGGTCCCTCCCCTTCCCTCCAGCAAGGATGAATGACTAGGAGCAGGTAAATGGGAATTCCAATCACCAGGTGTACACATAAACTAAATGGATTTCAATCATCAATTTATAAAACAGCCAATGGGATTTCTTTTATTTGGGGGACATGCACAGTATAGAGGGGCACAGTACAGAGGGGCACAGTACAGAGGGGCACAGTACAGAGGGGCACAGTACAGAGGGGCACAGTACTAGGCGGAGTCGATCGCGATATTTGTGGGGTTCGATATGTAATCTCGTGTACTACTGAGTCACGCGATTATTTATAGACAGCCGTACACGTATTGGTTGAGAAGAGTAACTTATTTCGTCGAGAATAAATTATAAAACTAAAAGAAGAAAACACAAGGATACTATATAGTTTGTTTTCTTGTGATGGGTTAAAGAAAGACACTGTATTTGGTGGTTGGTATCAGATTGGTTGATTAAATGGGTTGAGTATAAAGGGGATGGCACTTACCCACAACTACCAGGTGGGTTAGAGCTGGGATTACCAGGCACCTGACGGAGCCAGGTCGATAAGATCCGGAGGCATGAGATATCTTCCACGTCTGTGTGTTCGCCTCCACAGACGATCAGGTGAACTAGTGAGAAGAGTGTCTAGGCGCTACCTGACGAGGGCGTTGTAGGTGCTGGTCTATACCCCACAACTCACACTGCAACATTAAGAGAAACTAGTGTCAAGAAACAGCTTTGGATATGAGTATATTAACACCACCTGAAAATTAGGCACCCTAGCTTATTGCACTTGAAGGTAAACCATCCTAACACAACCTGGGGATGGTTAGGTAAGATTAAATTAGGATAGGATAGGATAGAGTCAGAGACGAGGGGAGAACGAGCTACTGACAGAGGTGACAGGGGTCAACTAAGGTCATAGCCATAATGACCCTCTTCCGCTGTCGTCGCCGGCTCCTCCTCCGCGACCTTCAGGTGTGGGGAGGCAGGCGAGGAGAGGGAGGAGGAGGAGATAAGAAGGAAGAGGAGGAGAGAAGAGGAAGGGGGGGAGAGAAGAGGGAGGAGGAGAAGAGGGAGGAGGTGCAGAGGAGGGGAGAGAAGGAGTAGGGAGAGGAAAGAGAGGAGGAGGAAAGGGCTCGTTAGGAGTAGGGGGGAGGGCTGGTAAGGGGGTAATCAATAGCTGAACAGAATTAAGGAGGAAAATAACCTGAAGGAATGGAGGAGGACAAGAAGATACTTGAAGGAAGATAATGAAGAGAGAGAGAAATAAGAAAAGGTGAGGAGGACGAACAGGAAGAAAAGATGAAGATGAAGAAACGCAGAAGAGATGGACAAGAGGAGATGGAAGGGGAAAAGGAAGAAAAAAGGAGGAGAGAAAGAGGCGGAGTAAAAGGCTGAGGAGGAGGAGTTGGAGGATGAGTAAGAGGAGGAGTAGGAGGATGAGGAGAAGGAATAGGAGGATGAGTAAAAGGAGGAAAAGGAGTAGGAGTAAGAGAAGGAGTCAGAGAAGGAGAAGTAAGAGGAGGAGGACAATGAGGAGGAGAAGGACTATAAGGAGGAGAAGGAGGAGGAGAAGGAACCACACCCAAGGCACCCCTAAATTTCGACAATACTATCATTACAGTTTTATAGCTTTATCGGGACGTGCTCGAGCTACAGTCACCACCCCGAGGGCCTGGGTTCGAATCCTGGAAGAGAGGGAGACGTTTAGCAAGTTATCTAACACCTGTTTCCTCTCTCTCTCTCTCTCTCTACGTAGAATAGAATGGAAAGAGGAAGGAAAGAGGGAAGAAGAAGAAGAAATGAAAGAAAATAAACACTAAAGAGAAGGAAGAAAAGAAAGAAGATAGATAAAGGAGGAGAAGAAAGAAAAATCAAAGAATGAAAGAAGATGAAGATAAGGAAGAGGAAGTTGAAGAGGAAAGCAGAGAATGAAAGAAGATGAAGATAAAGAAGAATAAAGAGGAGGAAAAAACATAAAGACAGAAAGAAGATAACTGGAGGAGGAGAAATAGAAAAAAATAAATAAAAAAGAAAGAAGATGAGAAAGTAGTACGAAAGACAAGACAAAGAAACAACAGTAACAACAACACAACAAAAACAACACCTAGATCAACACACCAAAGGCAACACTCAACATCTTAACACATGAAAAACTAAATTTAATCCTAGCTAATCCACACAAAGAGTAACCAAAGAACCACTCAGTCAACCACGCCTTCTGCAGTCCTATTTCATGTCTTGCAGATCCAACAAGCGGGCGATAGGGAGGAAGGAGGGTAAGGGGGAGGGGGGGGGTAATGGATTGCGTTGGCCAGAAGCCTTTTCAGCGTCATCATTCAAGTGTTGTGTTTTTGTTCTGCAGTACATTCCGGCTCCTGAGAGTGTGAACACCGTAAGACTGATGATCACATTAGTTGTAAGTGAAAGCTCCTGGTTGGGTGTGGATGAAGAATTGTAAGAGGTGTTTGAGAAAGAGAGAGAGAGAGAAAAAGACCTGTACACACACACACACACACACACACACACACACCTGTAAGCTACTTCAAAAGATTCGTTGCTACACTTTCTACCCCACAGCCCGGATGGAGTGGCCCTTTGGGAAGTGAGAGCTCGTGGCTGCCCTCACCCTTTGACCTCAACCTTGCCTTTGATCAAAGCTATTCGTCACCTGGTCAGTCAGGTTGTTAGGGTCTGCAATGTGTCTACCCGACGCAGACTGCTTGGCCTGCCCTATATTGGTGTGAAGTGATGATATGAGGCAGCCTGCATGACCAGACCTATATTGTTTTGAAGTGACTATATAAACATGAAGCAGCCTGAATGACCAAATCTATAATGGCGTGTAGTGAGCAAAAGACATGACACATAACCAGACATATACAGACACACGTCACTACAACACTTCACCACGACAATATACACTCCTTCACCAGTCAACACACACACACACACACACACACCCGCTAGCTATTAACTTTTTTGCTTTCTGTATCCTCGTATAACATTACAAGTCACAGCTGTAGGACTCATCGACTGCCCACCGCATAATTAAGACCTAACACATACTCATACATCGTAAAGAATGACACTTCTCTCTGCTAGCTAACCATCTGAGATATACAGTACATTAAACGCTTCCAGGAACAGGTATGCAATATATATATACACAGAGTCAACTTATTATCATATAAATACTAGATACATTTTCCTTGATGATTCATAAACATTCCAAACTATGAATTAAGTAATATATATAATCACAGGGTCAACTTATTGGCATATAGATTTCATACACATTCCCTAAGGTGACAGGTATGCTAACACAACAATGCATCAGATACTCAGCATAAAATGTGGATGCAAAAGTGGGCCAAAGCAAGAAGGAAGGTTGGACATTAAGTCAATTTATTCTCGGAATCGCACAGCAGTCTTAAGTCACGCGAGAGACCCATTCATCACCAGGTAAACTCGGGCAGTAGGTAAATATACTCAGGCATTTAGCAGTGTGACGTGATGCGGTCAATAGGGTGCGCGCGCGTGTGTGTGTGTGTGTGTGTGTGTGCACCTATGATAAATGTTAATAACTTTTTACCTCCTCCGTGTTCGACATGACGGAGTTGGTGCAGGTGAAGGAGGAAACACCGAATAAATAAATAAAAAAAAACTTAAGCGAGAAGACGAATGAAGTGAGATACGACAAAAAAAAAACAAGACGAAAGACAAAGAGGCAAGATACACAAAGAGAATAAATCAGAAAACTCAAATGGAAGAGAAAAACAGAAGAATGAAAGGAAAAGAAGAAAAGAAACAAGACTGATAAAGATAGCACGGAATCTCATAATCAATCACTGTACAAACTCAGAAAATTTCACCAATACAAAGTTTCCAAAATGGATCGTGGAAGTAACACGTTTTTCATAGATTCAATGTTACATATATATAAACATTAACTCAAAAGACTAAGTTTAGAAGAATCAACAGGTAAGAGGAAGCAGCCGTATAAAATTGTGACACAAGTTTCCAAAACATTGTTGGCTAATTTGTGAGTTGGAAATGTCATGCACAACACAAGAGACTGGAGGAGACAATTGATTTGAGCTGTCTGTATCTTGAAGTGTTTCTAGCAAGGAAAATCTTTACTTTGTGTTGCGTTATTTTGTTTTACTTTACCGGTGGGAGGGAGGAGAGAAGGAGTGGGTGGTGGTAGTAGTAGTAATGGCAGTAATTGTTGTAGTGGTAGTAGTATTGATGATGATGATGATGGTAATGTTGGTGATGGCAGTAGTGGTGGTAGTAATAACGGTGGTGGTAGTAATAACGGTGGTGGTAGTAATAGTAACGGTGATAGTAATGGTAGTATTAAAGGTAGTGGTTGTAGTAATGTTGGTAGTAGTAATGGTGGTAGCTACTTATGTATTAAGATATTTAATAGTAAGGTAATAAAATGGTGGCGAAGGAATGGCTATTGGGGGAGGCTGGAGGCCATTATTAAAAAAAAGTAGTAATGGTGGTAGTAATGTTGGTAGTAGTAATGGCGGTGGTAATGGTGGTAGTAGTAATGGCAGTAGTAGTAATGTTGGTAGTAGTAATGGTGGTAGTAATGTTGGTAGTAGTAATGGTGGTGGTAATGGTGGTAGTAATGGTGGTAGTAGTAATGATGGTAATGGTGGTAGTAATGGTGGTAGTAGTAATGATGGTAGTAGTAATGATGGTAGTAATAATGGTGGTAGTAATATTGGTGGTAGTAATAATGGTGGTAGTAATAATGGTGGTAGTAGTAATGATGGTAGTAGTAATGATGGTAGTAGTAATGGTGGTAGTAATGGTGGTAGTAATGGTGGTAGTAATGGTGGCAGTAGTGGTGGTAGTAGTGGTGGTAGTAGTAATGATGGTAGTAGTAATGATGGTAGTAGTAATGGTGGTTGTAATGGTGGTAGTAATGGTGGCAGTAGTGGTGGTAGTAGTAATGATGGTAGTAGTAATGATGGTAGTAGTAATGGTGGTAGTAATGGTGGTAGTAATGGATGCAGTAGTGGTGGTAGTAGTGGTGGTAGTAAAGGTAGTGAGTGGTTCATTTCATCACTACCAATACATGGAATAATAGACGTGTGAGTGTCGCCTCTTGTGTACAAAGGACTTCTGTGTGTACATATATATTAACTCGATTCTAGTGCGTGTGCGTGTGTGTGTGTGTGTGTGTGAAGCTTTATGTATATATATATATATATTATGGCTTCTCTGTACACTACGTTTCTATTTACGCACAAACTTTAACACGCACACACACACACACACACACACACACACACATATGGTACAAGTGTTTCCAGTACTAAGATAATTTTGTTCTTTGTTAGAGTAACCAGCGAGGAGTGTTGCGTCACAGAATGTGTGTGTGTGTGTGTGTGTGTGTGTGTGTGTGTGTGTGTGTGTGTGCGTGTGTGTATATCTTCTTTAAACAAATGGTCACTGTGTACTCATAACATTGCTCAACACACGACTCAGTCCACACACATTTATATCCTCATTTGTTGTTTTCAAGACCACTCTGTGTGTGTGTGTGTGTGTGTGTGTGTGTGTGTGTGTGTGTGTGTGTGTGTGTGTGTGTGCGTGTGCGTGTGTGTGTGTGTTAAAATTCCCTGTGAGAATAATTTTACTCACTCGGCCTCAGTGTGTGTACTTGGCTGCAATTGTA